GGTACGGACGCCTCCGCACTTCAAGGAAGAAAGGCGTGATAATAACATACGCAGGGGAATGCAACCACTTTCCAAAGGCTCGAGGCTTGCAAGGCAAGCGAATGCCCAGCCTTTCGGTCGGATATCAGAGCGAGAAGCGCGAAACGCGAAGTGCGCGCACGCTGGTGATATAGTGCTGTCTTTTGGTGTTTGATGCAGGGCTTCGCAGGTCGCTTCGGAACCGCGCCTTCGCGTAGTTCTCCGACCTCTTCACTTGTCATATTGGAGAGCTTCCCCGAGCTGCCACGCAAGAGCTCGGGGTGATGGGAACCCACATGGGCGTATGAAGATTTCTTCTATTATTTCTGCAGGCGGCGTCGGACGTCGAGAGCACTTGAAGCGGTCTGCTGACCGGCCGCGGCGGGCCGGGCCCGTGGCGGCGCACAGAAACGCGCCTTGGCAGACCGAGTGACACGGGCATTGTGGAAGTGCTTGCAGAGAGAATCGAGACTTCAAGTATCATATTGGTGAACATAGACCTCACTGGCGCCGTCCGCGCTGCAGGGCCGCAAGCCCGGAGCGCAGGGCTCCGCGCCCTGGGGGAGGAGGGAGAGAGGGGAGGAATGCGAGAGCGAGAGAGGAAGGGCGGAAGGGAGGAGAGGGCGCAGGCCCGAACAACCCAGAGGCTTGAAGCATTGTGCGGGCGGGGGCCAGAGCAGTGTCCGAAGCTAGGCACCTGAGGATTCCGAGGATTATCACTGACTTGCGTTTGGGCTGTCAGAGATTGTCCGGCCAGCGCTTGCACGGTCGCCCTGCACGTCGGTGCGCGCACGTTCGGAACCATGGGGTCCATCGCAGTACCCGCGTCTTTCATTTTTCCATTGTGCAGGACTCAGTGTGCAAAGCGAACTTCAGTTTCCAGCTCCGGCGCGTCTCAACCGAGTCCTCCATTCTTTTTTCGGGGGCCTTCTGCTCGCACAGACGGGCGAATCGTCTGACATAGTCTATCGACCCCTCCTCGCGTCTGCTGAGGATCTGGAAGATTCAGCGGAGCATGTTGCGCCATGTTTCATTGAGGTACTGCCGGTCCTCGGTCTTCATCGCCCAGCACGAGGTTTCATATAAAGCGGTCGAAGTCACGACCGAATAAAATAAGTTGGGTCTCGGAGATTTCGGGTATTTCCTCGAGCAGAGAGCATGTCGAAACGTGACAAGTGAACTCCAGGCAGTTGCCATGTGGTTCGAAATTTCTGCTCTATGGTCGTCTTCCAGATTGGTGACTCGGCCCAGATACTTGTCGGAACCTCCCGGCGAAATAACCTCGACTTGGGAGTCACCAGCAAGCACGAAGTTGCCCGGGTCGCCGGAGCAGCTCCTGAGGATCTTCGTTTTGCCGAGGTGTACGCGGAGCCCGTATTTGGCAGCGGTCGTCTGGAGGTGGGTCAACATGTCCGCGGCGTCCTGTTAGCTTCGTGCAAGTAGCAGCACGTCGTCTGCGAAGCTCAAGTTTGTCAACGGCATCATCTGGTCGTCTATAACGAAACCAAACTATTGCCCAATGCGTCTCTGGTTGAGCCCGTGCCATTCTGCCTTCAACGATCTGAAGCACGAGTCCATACTTGCCATGAACAGGGGCGTGTTGATCGGCCCCCCCCTGCGTTACGCTTCTGGTCAAGCAAAAGGAGCGGGACTCCACTCCAGCAGCAGCAGTGGCGGTCAGCGCACAATTCCCGAAGCAGGCTAATGTAGTATGCTTCGAAACCAAACTCGCGTAGAACATCCCACAACGCCTCCTGGTCGACAGTGTCGGAAGACAGTGTCGGAAGCTCCCTCGACATCTATAAGCCCTAACTACGAATCTTGATTCCACTCTCTTCACTTCTCGATAAGTTACGTCAAGCGAGAAGATGGTCCTCCGTGGAGAATCGATCGACTCTTCGACGAGATTCCCCACGTGCTTTGCCACAGTCTGGGCATGCCAGGTTCCATGTTCATCAAACCAAGAAGGTGTTTCATTTTGCTGTACAAGCTTTCTCCGACAAAAATAATCTGGCGATGGATCCAACCATATGCAGTTGTGGATCCAGTGGAGCTCCCTCAAGCCCACGTAATCGCGTGAGGGGGTTGCCAAAATGGGTGCGGTGGGCGCATGCGAGCCCTGGCATCTGGGCCTTCGGTGGAGCTCCCTCTGGGGCCACGAGACATGCGACGGGTGTGCCAAGATGAGTGCGGTGGGCGCATGCGAACCCTGGCATCTAGGCCGTCAGTGGAGCTCCCTATTGGGCCACGAATCTTGTGAGGGGTGTGCCAGAATGAGTGCTGCGTGCCCATGCGAGCGCTGGCATGTGGGCCTTCGGTGAAGCTCACTATGGGGCCACGATGCGTGTGATGGGTGTGCCAAAATGGGCGCGGTGGGCGCATTCAAGCCATGTAATGTGGGCCTTCGGTGGAGTTCCCAATGGGGCCATGAAACGTGTGAAGGGTGTATCAAGATGTGTGCGGCGTACGCATGCGAGCGCTGGCATCTGGGCCTTCGGTGGGGCTCCCAACAGGGCCACGAAACATGTGAGGGGTGTGTCAAACTGGGCGCGGTGGGCGTATGCGAGCGCTGGCTTCTGGGCCTTCGGTGAAACTCCCCATGGGGCCGCGAAGCGCGTGAGGGGTGTGTCAAAGTTGGTGCGGTGGGCGCGTGGGAGCACTGGCATCTGGACCTTCGGCGGAGCTCACTACTGGGCCACGAAACGTGTGGCGGGTGTGCCAAAATGAGCACGGTGGTCGCATTCGAGCGCTGGCATGTGGGCCCTCGGTGGGCCTCCATATGGGGTTACAAAGCGTGTGGTGTGTGTGCGCGCGCGCCAAAATGTGCGCGTTCGGCGCATGCGAGCCCTGGCATGTGGGCCTTCGGTGGAGCTTCCCATGTGCCCGCGAAGCGCGCGAGAGGTGTGCCACAGTGAGGGGGTGACGGTAGGAGGGAGGAGCGGGAAGAGGAGGCGGAGAGGAGAGGAAAAGAGGGACGCGGGGACCGTCTCTTCAAAACGAGGACCCAACACCACAGGACGGTTGGGGAAAAACATCGTAATCCAGTTTGAACAGGGAGGTGCCTCCGTGGTCGAGGGCAGGCTCCAATGCGGGCACGTTTTCCAGTGTGAAACGCGGGTCGGGCACGCCTTCTGTCGAATGGCCTCCGGTCCATCCCGACACCGCGCCTGGGTTGTGGGTATGAAGCCTATTGGATGTTCGTTGGGATCTCGGGGGCCTCCCGGGGGCCTCTTGGAGACAGTTTGGAAGCCTATTGGGGGCCTTATGGGCCCTGTTTTGGGCCTTTGGGGGGCCTCTTCGGGCCCTGTTGGGAGCCTGATGGGTGTCTTTTGGGGCCTTTTGGACGCCTCTTGGGGCCTCCTGGGGGCCTCTTGGGGCGGAAGGCTTGGGTTTTCGGTTCGTGCTCCCTCTCTTGGGCCCCTTCTGGGGCCGTCGTGGGGCCCTCTTGGGCCGTTTTCGGCGCCCCCTGGGCAGTCTTGGGGCCATCTTGGGTCGTTTTGGAGCCCTCTTGGAGGCCTCTTGGGCAGTCTTGGGCCGTTTTGGGGCGGTCTTGGGGGCTTCTAGGGCAGTCTAGGCGCGTCGGGAAGCCGAGAAGGCGAGAAAGCCAACAACTTTCAAACACCCATGGCAAATTAATTCTAGTGGCGTCTTGGGACCCTCTTGGGAGGCGTCTTGGAGGCCCCTTGGGGCGTCTTGGAGGCCTCTTGGGCCGTCTGGGCCCGTCTTGTGGCCCTCTTGGGGCCGACGGAGGCATGCGACACGGTGCCGGGAACCCCATGGGGGGCACGCGCCAAGCCCCAGGAGATGTTTGACATGTGGGCCCAGGCCCTACAGAGACTCTGCAGGGCTGAGGTTTGCTGCTCCAGGGATGAAGCAAAGGACCTGAGGGCGCGCCCGCTCCGTGCCCAGATGCCAGGTGGCAGACGTAGGGAGCTACAGGCGAAACGGGGGCGCAGCATCTTTCAGTTCCTGTCGGTGTTTCAGATGTTCGCCCCTGAGCAATGCAACCTGCACCTCGAGCTCTTCGTGAAGGACGGCGAGCTTGGAGCATGTCGCTTCAAGTTTGTAATCGGCCGCGCGCGCAAGGGTGTTCGCGCTCGAGAGCCTCATCTGCAGAAATTCCGAAGGCTGTGGTGGCGGTAAGAGCGCCGCCATTGCTGAGCGGTGTTTGGCCGCCGCTACCGCGCCCCTTCCTTGTCTGAACCACGCGGCCTCTGTGGGCCAGCGAGACGGGCATGCTTGCCATCGGCACCGCTGGCATATGCCTGACGCCAGCCGGCGTCCCTGGAACGGTGGTGTGCCCCGGGCAACTGCTCCATGCATTCTGCTACCAAGGTCAGCAGGTAGGCGCGGGCGACTCGGTTGATACTGCGCAGCCCTCGCAGGAAGTGAACTTGGCACAGTTCTTCTTGCGACCGCACATCATATATGCCCATGGCGCTGCTGGACGAGAAGCATAGCGGACGGGGAGCTGATGGGCAGGAGTGAGAGGAGGCCAGCCGCTGTCTTGCTGCGAAAGGTTGACGTTGCTGATGCTACCGCCATGCGAGGTCCTTCGTCGCACTCGCGGGCAGTCGCCATGGGCCCGCCATGGCTGAAGGAAAGTCCTTGCATCGCGCTGCTCCCCCAGTCAAGCCCAGAGCCAATACGGCTTGAGTCGAAGTCGACATACGGAGGAGAAGGGGATAAGCAGCATCAGCAGCAGCAGCAGCAACAGCACCAACCAGAACATCAGCAGCATGAGCAGGAGGGTAAGACTGAAAGACTGAGGATGAATATCAGGAGCAGCAGGAGCAGCAGCAAGTGCGGGGACAGCCAAGAGCAAGAGCAGCAGCAACGGCAAAAGGACGAGATCAGGAGGAAGAGATGTTGAAGGAGGGAACTGGCTTAGTGGAAGCAGGTGAGAGTAGGTGGTGGAAAGGGCGGCTGAGTCAGGGAGGGCGCCCAGATCCACGGACGCAGAGGGTGCTTCCCACGGCCAGGAGTGGCAACCTCGTCTGTTTTTATGCGGTCATCGCCTGCGGCGGCCTGGGGGTGTTTATCACGCTGGTAGCATGGCAGATGCACCTTGCTGCATCCAGGCACATCCCGATCCCGGTCGCCGCGCCCATGATGGGGCAACCATTGGCGCCCCGCTCAGTGTACCGATTGAGTAGCGATTGTTGGCTCCATTGCATCGAACCGCCGACAAACTAGCATGCAGATCTGGCTCCGATACAAGGCCTCTCTTTGTCCGCTCGTTCTCCCCCCTCCTTTCGAGACCCGCGGGGAACTTTCGTCTCGGTGGTCTTGAGGCGAGCTCGACTCTTGGGCGCAACCGCGGTGGGCAAGGGGCGATCGTTCGGCGCTGCGGGCCAAGGTAGTCCAGTGAGCTGAACAACGCTGCTGTGCAACGCCGCGAAGGCGAATGCGTGCCGTGTGCCGCATACGGCAGGGCTGATCGATGCCCCAGCAGGGGGGGGGCTGGAACGCGCGCCTAGGGTGGAGGAAACCAGTACAGCGGAGTGCCCCTCCCAAGTCTTTCCCGGGACTTCCCCCCCCTCTTCTGTAGGCAGGCGGAGGTAGGAGGGGAGATGGAGGCGGGCATTTCGCGACGCAGGCTTCCATGCCCTCCAAGGACGGCGGTCGGCCAGCAGGGGGAGGCGGAGGAGGAGGAGGAGGAGGAGGAGGAGGAGGAGGAGGAGGAGGAGGAGGAGGAGGAAGAGGAGGAGGAGGAGGAGGAGGAGGAGGAGGAGGAGGAAGAAGAAGAGGAGGAGGAGGAGGAGGAGGGGGGAGAAGATGACCATCTCGGTTAGAGCGGGGACCGCATACGATCGCGCAGAGGTGACCAACCCCAGACAGAATCTGGTACCAGGCACGTACTCGGGACTACGAGTTATTCTGCCCAGGGACGGAAGTTGGGAAACAGCCAGAACGGGTGCCACAGTCATAAGAGGTGCAGCAGTGGCCTGGGACGCAAAGAAAGAAGAGGACTGACCAGAGGAGGACTCGGCGGTTACAAATCCATACTTGCGTGACTGCATGGTCACGGAGGAGGACGGGGGAGAAAGGTCGTGTGGTAAAATATTTGCTACAAGAACGGAGAGACACAACATTACCGTGGTGCAGGAGCACTTTCGCGAACCGACGCACGGCGATTCACCGTGCGACGAGAGCTGCCGACGGACATGGGATTTGCCGCAGGGACGGAAGCAAATGGAGACATCTTGTGGACCAGCCCACGTGATTTACATGCCGACTTTGTGGCCATGAGGCCCAAGACTTGGACGGAGATCGCTTTCGCGCTACTTCCCACCACCCAGTTCCCACTTCAGCTCGAGATCCTAAGAAACAGGGTGCTCACAGGAATTCTGCTGGAAGCAGGGTCCCCGTTCGTGGTCACGAGCTGGGGGCTCAAGAGGAGGCCGCAGGAGGCAAGCCTGGAGACCATGGAGGAGCGCGGTGGCCCGAAGGACGCCAAGGGGGTGGCCGCGTTCAAGGGAGACAAGAGTGGCAACGGCAAAAGGGGCAATCCAAGCAAGCAAGCAAGCAAGGCGAAAACGCAGGGGCGGCGACGTCGGCAGGAGAACAAGAGTCAAGAGCCGCCCCGCGGGCCACACCAGCGAGGAGGTGGCTCAAGCAGCGACCACGCAGACTGCGCCACCGCGATCAGCAGCCTCCAGAAGTTGGCGCTCAGGACGGCCCTCGTGGCCAGAGAGCAGCAGCATCTGCTGTCGGAGCTCTGGCTGATCCCAACCTCACGTTCGCCATTCAAAGCGGGAGCGCGGGAAGGACTGGAGCACGCAGTCAGACTCAGGGAAGCAGGGGAGAAGCACAAGCTAGGCCCCCCAACCCGCCCACGTCGCAGTTGCTACGATCGGGAGATCAAGAATTGCCTGACAGAGACGATGAAGCAGGGAGTGCCAGACAGAGCGCTGGAACGGGGCCACGAGGCGCTGGCGCACTGGCTCGACCTGGCGCACCACGAGAGGGGGATGGAGTTCGTGACGGAGACGCTGAAGATGTTCAAGATAGCGGAGGCAGGAGGACGACGAGAAGGGCAAGGGGAGCTTCTGTACAGCATCGAGCCGCTGCCGAGCATCCGCGCGGCCATGCGGGTGGAGAGGATCGCGAAGATGACGCGGGGCGCGGAGGTAGACGAGGGGGGGTGCTAGACTGCTACGAGGGGAAGAAGGGCGATATAGACGAGTATCACCCGCTCTACATGAAGCAGGCGCTGGGGCACCCCCTCAAGATGACGGGGGCGCCCAGGCGACCGGCCACGGGCCGGGGGCGGGGATCGAGCGCGCGGCGGAGAGGCAGCTGCAGAGCCAGAACAAGAGCAAGTAGAAGATGCCCCCCCCCCACACACACACACACACACACACACGCACACACACACACACACACACACACACACACACACACACACACACACACACACACACACACACACACACACACACACACACACACACACACACACACACACACACACACACACACACACGCGCGCGCGCAGGGCGCAGCTCGCCCAGCTCCAGCGGGCCAGCTCAGCCGCCAGATACTGCCCGGCGCCGCGCCCAGCGGGGCCCTTTTGACAAGTCGCCACCGTCTCCCGTCACTGCCCCTCAGACGAGAGGTTCCCTTCCAAAGCTCCGCCCCATCGACCTCAGGCGGATCGCGGCCTTTAGCCCCGTGGGGCTTGGGCCGCTCAGGCCGCCCTGCATCTCCTCCCATTCCTCTTCCGCCTCCTCCTCGGCGCTTTTTTCTCGCGGCACAGGGCGCCTACGTGCGCTGAGGCGCGAGCTCGGGCCGGCGCGCCCTCCCAGGCGCGGCGGCCCTCGTCCCCCCGGCGGCGCTGCGACGCACCAGGGGCGGGGGGGGTGCCCCCCCCTCTCCGTCGGGGCGGGGGGGGGGGCGACGAGGCGCACCGACCGCGATGCGGCAGGTGCGCGCCGAGGAAACTCGGCAGGAGGCCCCGCCCCACCGCTTTATATTGGCGCGGGTGGGTGGGGCCTCCAAAAGAATCAGCGCGGCCCCCAAGGGGCTTCGAGCGAAAAGGATCGCGGGGAACAGGCGAGAGGCAGGCAGAGACAGGACGGGAGAGAGGGGCTACGCCAGGCTGGGAAACCTTATGTTCTAACGAACGTTCATGTTTCCCCTCCAAAGCTCCGCCCCTCGACCTCAGGCGGATCGCGGCCTTTAGCCCTGTGGGGCTTGGGCCGCTCAGGCCGCCCTGCACCCCCCCGTATTCCCCCTCCCCCTCGGCGCCTTTTTCTCGTGGCACAAGGCGCCTCAGTGCGCTGGGGCGCGAGCTCAGGCAGGTGCGCCCCCCCAGGCGCAGCGGCCCCCACCCCCTCCGTGCTCTGGCGCGCGCTGCACCTCGAGCCGCGGGGCCCACCTCGAGGGCCCCAGCTCGCACTGGCGGGGGGGGGCCTGGCCTCGCGCTGGCCCAGCTCTCCTAGACGACCCGGCACTGCGCCACGGGGCGGTCAGGATCTGGCTCGCTCGGGGTAGGCTGCCGCCAGGGTCTCCGGAGGTGCTCGCCCCTCCTCGCCCCCCCCCCGCCGCCCCTCTCAAGGCCCCCAGCGGTGTCCGCCCCGCCTTGCCCGAAGACCTACCTCTGCGCCTCCTCCTCTAGCAGCCCATCACCGGGCTCTTCTCGCGGCCTCGCTGGCCTCGGCGCCCCCCTGCGCCCCCAGCTTGGGGCCTGCGGCCAAAGCTGCCCGCGCGCCACGAGCCTCGGGCCACTGCGGCTGTCCTGCCATCAAACCATTGTGATGTCCGCGGCCGCCATGCTGCTAGCCACTCCTTCCGCCGCGCCGCGCGCCTCCCAGAGGTGCCCCTGGAAGGCGTCGCTCCTCCACCTACCCCAGCGCTGCGCGAGCGCTGTGTCCTTGAAAGCCGCATGCAGCGCTGACGCTCCTCCGACCCTCAAGCTGTGCGAGCCCAGGTCGTTCGGACCCATGCCCTCTGCTGCGGCCGACTGCATCGCCACGCGCTGGACGCCCGCCCTCGCAACCAGACGCGCGTCGTCGCAGGCGAAGGGCGGATCACGCATACGCGTTCCCGAAAAGCGTTCTCGCGCCCATCCCTCGTAGATCTCCAGCGCCTCCACCGCGCAGATGTGCGCGTCTTTCTCCGCGCCTGGTGGGATCTCGACCCGGAAGTGGTTGTGCCACTTCCTTCGATTGTATTGGTCCGTCTTGCTGGCCCTGATCTTGATCATGACGTCATTCGCTTCCTTCCAATCCCGCGTTGGCCCCCCTCCCGCCTTGGGTGTCACGCCCTCGCCTCGGAGACCCTTGCCGCCAGCTTAGCCGTTCTGGTCGCCGGAGAGACGCACTCGCTGGCCCTCAGCAGGAAGAGGTAGCCTGTGGCAACCGCGGCCCAGAGGGCCGCGCCCTCCCTCGTCTTCTCTGGCTGCAGCTTCCGCCTGATCCACCTCATCATGCGGGGCGCGACAGGCTTCTTGCGCTTAGTGTCGCCGTCGCGCCTCCGAAGCCCGTCAATCGCCATCCAGAGTCTACCGGCTCCCTCGGCGAGGTCGCCCATGCCGAGAGCAAGATGCCGAGCCCGGACCGAGTTCGGGCACTGCTTGATGGCCCCTGCCCCCTTGCAGCCCCTGCGCGTCAGATGAATGACAAACTCAAGCAGCAACTCCTCCTCGCCCTTCCTGTTCGCGGCCGTGACCTCCCGCAGCGGGTTGACACCGCTGGTCCGGCAGAAGAGGGTCCACCACCTCCAGCCCGGGCTGTGCGACTTGATGGTGGAGCTGGCCAGCTTGTCGAGGATGAGCTCTAACTTGGCCCTCTCCCAATCCTCTCGCGTCTTGAGGCCCGTCATGGCGAGGTCGCCTGGGCGAGCGCTGGGCCGCGCGGCCTCCGGGCCCAGCAGGTTGGGTGGCCTGGTCTGGTAGGGGGCATGACCCGCGCTGCTGCTCTTCCTAGGCCTTCCTCGTGGGCGCGCCAGCCTTGCGACCCTGATCTTCGTCGGCGCCCAACGCCGCAAGAGCCCAGTCGAGCCGCCCGCCCCTCTGGTCGGGGTAGCCCCGCACCCGCGCGAGCGCCTCCAGCTCCTCCTCCGCCTCCGCCTGTTCGAGACTTCCACTCCTGCGGCCATCTCCTTCTCCACCTCGGCGCCTGCGACCCGCCCCATGGTCGAGGCGCTGGCCTGATCCTTTCGCCGCGGTCTCGAGATGCGCGCGCGCCCCCGCCCGGCAGGGCCCGGCGCCGCTCGCGCCCCTCACGTCCGCCAGGTGCCGGGCCACCGCGCGCGGGTCGATCCCAATGTCCTCGCTGGGGGCCCTCGTCACCCCGGGCCCGCCTGCGCTGAGCCTCCTCCTTCCGAGCCTCCTCAGCTGCCTCATCCTCTCTGCGCTTGATCTTGATGGCCTGCGCCCTCAGCTCCGCCATCCTGGCTTCGTTACTGACCGCTTGACTGACACTCTGGGGGCCCCCCGAGGACCCTGGCCCAGCTGAGCTCGCCGCCGCTGCACCTGCCCCCCCCCCCCCCCCCCCGCGCTTCTGAGGGTGACGTTCCTCCTGGGCGGGCAGCGGGGGGGCGTCCTCTCCCGGGGCATGGGCATCGGCAGCGGCTCCCTGGCCTTCCGGAAGTCGGATCCCCGCGTGGGCCTCGGCGGCGCAGACCGCGCCTTCCGCCCTGGGCTCGGGGGGCGCCTGCCCCCCCCCCGATGACCTCGACCTCTCCTGCTCCTCGGCGGGGTTCAGCTCCCGCATGGCTTTCTCTTCCCTGCCGCGTACGTCTCGGATGCGCGCCTTGAAGGCCTCGGCCCCCATCAGGGCGCGCTCGGCCTCGGACAGGGCTCGCTGGTAGTCCCTGTCGATATCCTCCAGCTCCGACGCAGGCCGACCCTCAACTCGCTCCGAAAGCTTCTTGTACATACGCCCCACTGCCTCGCGCGCGTCGCCCCTGGCCCCCTTCTTGCGACCGTCGCGGACCGACGCCGAATCAGCTGATGCCTCCACGCCCTCGCCCTCGGAGCACGCCTCCTCCTTGACGGTCGGCGGCGGCGCCCCCGCCGTCGGCCCGACGCGCTTGCCCGGCCTGTTCTTGCGAGCAGCCCTCGGTGCCGTCTCGACATCCGGAGGAGGAGGAGCCTTGACGCGGGCCTCCGCTCCTTTCTCCCTCCTCTTGAGTTCGTCCGGCGATGGGGGCAGGCGGGCGCTCCGGCGACGACCCGCTTCCCCCCGACGCGACGGCGGCGGCGGCCGCGGCGGCCTCGATCGCAGCGGCCACGCCCCCGGACGGGGCCTGCTTCTTCTTCCTCCGCCGATTTCTGCCTCCGCCTCCTCCGCCCCCGCTCGGCTGCTGATCCTCATTCTGGCCGTGGGGCGCCTTCTCGCAGGCCTCGGATCGCTGTGCTCCAGGTAGGGGCACCCCGGCTTAAGGCATGGAGCGAGCGTCGCGGCCTGCGCCCGCTCCTTTGCCTCGGCCTGCGTCGCCCCGGGTCCCGCCGCCACCGCGCCTGCCATGTAGATCCATCTATGCTGATGTATTGCATATGCTTATGTAGTAGTCGGCCCTAAATTTAGCGTCGACGATGACATTTAGCGACGATCATCGCTAAATCTGTAGCGACGAGTACATCTTAATGACGACGACGGCGCGATGTTGCCCCATGAGGAGGCGCACTTCTCATGCAATGGGATCCAGTGTTCACGCGCGGAGGAGGCCGCGCCTCCTGCGGCGAGCCATGTGCTGCATGCGCGAGCGGTCTTGGCGTGCTCAGGCGCCCCCTCCAGGGCGTCGCGCCGATCTCGCAGGGGCGGAAGTTGACTTCTTGCCATGGGGGCGAAGAACGAGGAGGCCGCGCCTCCTGCACGGGGGGGGGGGGGGGGGGAAGTGGAATGGGGCGGGGCGAGCATGCGGGCGCGGGGCCGCACCCCCCAGGAGCGACGGCGGCGGCGCATCCAACCTTCCCATCGCCGCCGCAGCCTGCCATCGAGAGGCCGCGGCAACGCCCCCCCCCCCACCCCGCCCACCTCGGCGCGGGGCCGCTCGCATGGCGTCGGGGCGTGCGAAAGTGGAGATCGCACAGACGGATTTGAACGGGGCCATCGGCAAATGGCAGGGCGAGGTCCCGGGATTCCACTGCGCGGACAGCTACGAGGACATCGCGCGCAAGAACGTGAACTTCCTGGCGAGCGTGAATGAGCGGACGGCGAGGTTGTCCGCGAAGGACCTCCAGAAGGGTCTGAAGGAGGTGCTCGGGGAGGCGGACCCAGCGTCCTCGGCGCGGGCAAAAATGATGGCGGAGACGCTGTCGTGGTGCAACAAGAGGAGCGGGAACAAGGAGTTGTAGCGCCTCCCTCCCACGGTGCAGA